CATATATAACCTGTAGCCGAATGGATCAATAGAGACCCTGGACTGCAACAGGGAGTGTGAAGTGAAAGTGCCACTGGGTAGGGCCTATGTCCAGAATCCAACTGGGACTATAATGAAATCGACATGTTCGCTAATTCCTTAGGGCTGTACTACAAAAACATGAAAACTGACCCCTAAGAAGACTACAGTATTTCTTCAGTGGCAAGCCATAGCCAGGCTGCAGATGGACTCTTATTTCAGGCTCAGCTTTCCTGACAAACCTATGGTTTAGGGTTTAGGGATATTACCGTCCACAAATGGATAATCAAATGGAAAGGACAAAATGAGATGCTAACTGAGGTTTGTATAGGGGGTGGTGTCGTTCTTCTGAACATTGTAGCGCCATCACTATCGCGAAGGCGTCAGTAGCTTCTGGTATGCAGCTTGCGCATCATGCTTGCTCCGACAACCTCCACGTACCAGAAAACCCTAAACCCTGAACCCTAAGCCCTAGTTGTGGTTTGCTGCTTACTATACCCAAGGTGCAACATTCCTGTATTGGGTCCCAAAACCTTCAAAGGGTATGGGAATGTGCTGAAAGTAGTCATGTTGCAGAAGGAAACCAGCATATAAGCTTGTGTTGAGTATTAAGAGCCCCACCGTGAGATGTACTATACGCATTTGGGCATAGCGTGTTGCGCATGTCAAGAACAGGGGTTACCTCCTTGTAGCCCCCAAAAACTGCAGTCCTCATAGCAAGGACTTCTAAGGCGGGCTGCCTGCTACCTATGTTTTTGTGCTCTGGAGATCTCCTTTTACACATGGGGGTTCCGCAAGTACCTCCATATAGACCCCGGCAACTATTATACTGGTTATAGGAGCTCTACACAAAAGGGTCCCTAATCCCTCCCCTATAAACCCCAAAGGGTCCATGTAGGTACATGGCATGTACTCGAGCCCCAAACTAGGTATATATGGGATTCCTTTGGCCCTTAGGCATATACCATATCTCCGTATGGACCCTTTGGGAAGTAACATTGATACTGCATGCAAAGGCCCGGGCGCCAAGAAGGTGACGTCCCTGTCAGACAAAAGAAATGGAAACTGGGGTTACAGAGGAGGTTATAGTCCCCCTTTAGGTAGATAGAATATGGGGTATATGGGGATCTTATTATGATATACCCAAAATCATATTCTATCTACTTAAGGGGGAGGTTATTGGGATAACTACCAATACAATGACATGGAAGCTGAGGCTATATAGGAGATCATAGAAATGATTGCCAGTATTATGAAACTGGAAGCTGAGGCTATATAGGAGGTTATAGGAATACTTGCCAATGTACGGCACTAGATTTAGTAGCGGACGCTACCGCCGGGACTTGGGGGGGGGGGCCTTGACCCTCGAGATTGGCACCGTTGCGGCTATCGTTCAGTTTCATACAGTATAATAGGTTTAGGGTTTCGGGCTTAGGGTTTTGTATGCTCAGGCCACAGACTAGCTACACTGTAATCTGTTGGGCCCCATTAGTAGATCCTGTACTTGATACAGCTCAACCTTTCACTTCTTCTCCGTTCGAACTACAAAGGTCCTACTGGCAAAGTACTAACGGGATGCTCGGCTTCCCGCTCAAATGGAATCCCAAAAATGCCCCATTCAAAAGGGACAGTAGGTAGCCTTTACAAGGGTCATGCTGAGCTTCTGGGTTACTTCGAGGGTTGAAGAACGAGTGAATCTACGTTAGCAGGCACGTGATCGTCTAGGCATGCAGAACGCAGCCGAACAAACATGTGCCGAATCCCTACCGCTTTTCCTGAATCCAAAGCCCAAAAGTCAGAATCCCAGACAACCCTTAAGCCTTCGATCAAGAATTCCATCTTCGACCTAATTTGCAGGTGTCTACTTCCAGTCCGCGGGCGATAACCGGTTCTTTGCACTTACAAAGCCCATGAAGGGTGTAGATAGGCACCAAAATAAAGCCTCCAATGCTATCTGCTGGGCAGAGTCCTAGTCGAGCTTCCATGTTGTTTGCATGGTATCGGTTCCTGACATCCGGCTACGCCATAATCTTCCATCGCAAGCCTGCAGCCCTAGTAATCAAATCCAGAGCTTGCCGCTCCTAAGATCTTCCAGGGCCCAGCGGCAGCGGAACCTCCGGAATACGGCTGAAACGGCAAAATCCTGCATGACCTTTCTAGACTGCAGTACATTGCAGTACCATGATTCTCTAGGCTTAGGCAATTTAATGCCATGCAGGATTGTAAGTATCAACCCTAGCAGTAGCATCCTTTACAGAAGTCTTTTGGGGCTAAGAACACCCACTACGCTCACCAGGGATGGTTATGGTGCGACACCCTCATAAAGTTGATCTCCACCACACTTTCTGGAAGATCCGAAATATCAGGCGACACATCGATACATGGCAGGATTATTCATAGCCTCCCTAAACTGACACCCGGAAAATGGCAAAAATGTCATCAACCGTATAAAAACCCAGCTACATTTCTTCCTGGCTGGGATTACATCGCATACCTGGCAATTGCGTGCAAATGCAAGGGACTTTGAAACTACACACAAAAGGATCGCCAATTCCAGGTATAATTGGGATAGCCCCCGTAGGTCCACTGAGTGGGGGCTATGACACGATGAGTAGGGCTATTATCCCACCCTAGAAGGTTCCAAACCCTCAACCCCCAACCCTCAATCCTAGTCCCAATCCCAGGCCCCTATAAGCCCCCTGTATGTATATAGTCCCCCTTAAGTCGATAGAATATGGGGGTATATGGGGATCTTATTATAATATACCCAAAGCCATATTCTATCTACTTAAAGGGGACTATAGCTGCTAAGTCCTATAAATCTCTCAGCCAACAAGCTGGAAGGGCCTAAGGTGAAGAAGGCCAGGGAAAGCCGATAGAAACTCGGGAGCCTCTGCAAAGCAAATCAAGCAATTACAGTCAAAGTACTTTGGGTTTATGGTTTGGGGGGGTTTGGGCTCAGGGTTTGGGGTTCTTGATAGGGGTTAATGCCAATGCTAAGGGTTTTGAGGTGTAGGGCACGGGGTTTAGCCAAGTATCTGAATAATAGCTGCTGTATTATTGGAGCCCATCTCAACCTAAATCATGCATTACTTAAAGCGTGCCCAAAACCTCAGGGCATGGTGCTGGCAAGTTACTGTTGGGATTCCCAGCTTCAGCATACCTAGAATCTGTGGAACCTAGGTATGGCTGTCTATTCTGTGCTTGCACAGGTCATGCCCCATATGTGTAGAGTCCAGCTTCGATCATGCAATTCCTGTGCAAGTTGCCATGCGCAAGGCCCAACTTGAACGAATCTTCCCTACCCTCACGGTCACCCAAAAGCAGGCAAAACCCTGCCGGGTTCGTAGAGTGCCTTTTTCTCTCCGTGAATGTCTGCATATGTATATTCGTGTGTAGCACAGGAAGCACTGACAAAAAAAAGACGCCAGAACATTGCAAATCGCAACAGCCAGCTTCAAAAAAGACGCTATGACCTATGACCCAAGCCTGATTACTCAGTCCAACCCTGAACACACGCTTGGATCACTTCTCCCCCATTCATGAAGCCCCTCACGAAATCGCGAAAGGAAGAAAATCGTCGTTTTTTGGCTGAGCATCTTGATCTAAGAAAGGAAGCCATGCTGCTGCATGTGTTTCCAGCGAGCCAGCAGGTGGAGCTTCGCCCATTGTGGCTCCTAAATCTCAAACCCTCAACCCGCATACAATAACTCAGCGAATCCATCACATGAATCATCTGTATATATATATATACATCTATATATTTACATATGTCATATTATATATATATACATACACGAGATATCGTCACGGACCCATTGGGATAGGCTTTTAGAAGACCCTGTGCAGCTGTTCGAGCCTCGCCCGTGAAGTATCGCGCCAGCCTGCGATTCCAAAAGGGTCCATGTATGCGTGTACATACTTCAGAACATGTACGCACATACATACATACATACATACATACATACATACATACATATGCGTACATTGTACTGGGGGTAGGGTGTACAGGGTCAATAGCATTTGGGATCTGAGGTGTCAGTTTTAGGGTTTAGAGGGGTTCAAGGTGGTACATATTCAGGGCCAGAGGGGTTCTCATGGAACCTGTTTGAGGTCTAAGTACATACTATGTAGCTTCATACATCCTAAACCCTAAACCCCACGGGAGCTACATCGACCCTTTGGGATTCCAGCTCCGGCAACCTGTCTTGCACAGAGACGGGCTTAGGTTTTACGAGCCTAGCACAGTGGAGATGTAAGGTCCTGGAACATGCCGTGGATCTCGGAATACTTCGCGTACAATAAGTATACATGGGTAGAAAAGGTGCCACAAGATGTTCTCTTTGCCCTATTTGGGTGGAACCAAAACACATGCTAATTGTGAAGGCACTGTCTTGCTGGAAGAATGTAAGCTGCCGTGGTCAAATTCATCCGCCAGGTTCCGAGCTTGCAAGCAAAATGCATGTTGCTTGGGATGCTTATGCGACCTCAAACGCCCACAACCCCAGCATTCTAATTAAACCACAAGCATGGCACCTGAAAGCCAGGCCCCTAAGCCTGAAATAAACGACCGCAAGCCGCAATCCCAAAATTGCGGGATACCTTCCCAGCACCTGAACATAGAGCACCCTCAGCAGGCATGACTCATGGGGCTTACAGGGACTATCAAAAAATGACTGTGCCTAAGGACTTTGTAATTTACGGGTAACACGCAGAGGACCTGTGCTTACGTGACGCCTTGTAGTGAAGTTGCTCTGATGAGTCTCGCAAGTCACTGCCAACGTCCTGCAAGCTACGCCAGAATTTCCAGCAGCTCTCGATGCTGATCGCCCTACTCACCCACCATGCCAACAAGGAGAAGAAATGGCGGGAAAAGGAGGTGGAAAGCAAAGCACGCTACTTGCCGTACGTGACCTAGTAAGGCTGCATCCCAGCAATGCACGTGACTCTTTGAGACTTAAACCCCTACAGACTAGACCCTCCTCCAAGAGCAATTCGCCCTCCCCCAGGGGCCCATTCCTTAGAGCCAGCCCCACGAACACCACCATGGAAGTCCTCCACGCCTTAAACGTGCTGCGCGCGGTGTTCTTGTGCTGCACGTGGCTTAGATAGGCTGTGAGGTTATCCTTCGTGAGCGCCTCTTCGAACGTCACCGGTTCGGTGACCAGGCTCTGCTGGACCAAAAAGTAGCACAGTGATCTGTACCCGTGCACATGCTTCTGGACCGTTGTGGGTGCCAGAATTCGGTCGTGCTTCCCGCCGTCGACCATGGACTTCGTGGTCCAGGTCTTGAGAGCTCCAGGTCGCCTTCTCTGAAGCTGCACTCATCGAGCACTTTCTTGTGTTTTTGCGGTCCTGAAGGCAGCTTTCCTTAAATCCTTCCTTTCCAGGGCCGGTTTTCTTCACCTTCCTCCGCCGCTGCCTCCTCCGCCTTTCTCTTCTTGCCTTTTGCGGGGGTGTTCTTGGCCTCCAGCGGCTCCTACGACCTTTCCCCCGTCCACCGCACGGCGGTTTTGTGGATCTGCTTGCGCACTTTTCGCAAGCGGTGGTCTGGAACAATGCCTTGCCCCAGCAAGGCAGCCTCCTCCAAGAGGTCATAGTGGTTGACCCCGTTGTAGAGCACCGGGACGATGAACGAGTCTGGGAACTTGTCTGTGACGGTGTAGTAAAATTTATGCTGGTTGGGGTTCCAGCTGATGCAGAGAACATCTTGCAAAAGGACTCGGGCTGCGGCTAGGTGGACCCGCTCGTCCGCCCATGTCCCCGATTCAGCCATTCTGGTGAGGTAGTGCTCGTTCGGGGTTGTCCTATAACCTTAGAACCCTAAAAGCCCTTTAGAATCCTATAACACTTGAACCCTAAAAGCCTTTTGGAATGCCATAACGCCTCGGGGTTCTCTTTCATCTCCTGAATGACCCTTGCACGTAGATCGCTGGCGTGCTGAAATTCCTCCATCTGCCGACGTTTCGAAGACGGCATCCCCGATGGATGGTACTGTCGCTGCCTGCAGCAAGACATCACCTTACTCCAATGCCAAGTCCCTACAACCTTACACTCTAAATTCGCTGGTTGTTAATAGGGGCAATGGAAGTTGCTCTAGGGCACGGGATCAAGAAAATGGACCAGAAAATGGAGTCTTAGGGATGACCTGTTTACCCAAAACCGTTGAACCTGAACACTTGAACCCAAGCCTGAAGCCCTGAACCCCTAAACCCTTACACCTTGAACCTTAAACCCCTAACCTCCAAAAGCTCCGTGCGATTCTCGGGCTGGCCTCTCCGAGTCCGGGGTACCACCCTCAGACACAACACCTGTATGGGCTTAAGTTTAGGCTTTAGGGTGTGCGCAGGTTGCCGTTTTTTTGGCTTCAGGGGCCCTACGCAGTTTTGGGTTTAGGCTTTCGGGAGGCTTAAGTGTAGAGATTCGTTTTCAAGCATGATGGCTGGTGACATCTTTGAGCCTTCTGATGCTTGTCATCGGGTCATTGGGCTATTCGATAATGCTTCTGCTCTTCTGACCGATGTGAACCACAATACTGCACATCAGGAAACAAGAAGGTAACTACAACAGGAAGTGGAGCTATCTGACTACCTAGAGAATCAAGGCCTCCCTCCTCCTAGGAATGTGTATTATATAGACAGAGACAGACAAGGGAGGGGTCCCAGTTTTTGCGCTGGGGCGGGCATCCCCCAAGCACGCGCGGACTGAGACTGAAATTAGTCAGCATGTACGTGTGCTAATACGAGTACAAGTCAGAGGAAAACGCTCTGTGAAGGCTTGAGGTCCCCCTGCACCCTAATCAGCTCCCGAACCCCATCCAAGCCACCCTTGTCACAGTCCTTTTGGTTCTTTATTGCAGCTAGGTGCTCAACAACGGAAGATTGCTGAAGGGGTGCAATTCAGACTGCATATTCCCTCCCGCGCCCGCATAGACATCAACCCTACGCTTATACCCCGCCCCCCAGGCTTGAATCCTGTCCTATTCCAAACCCCACATCATACGAATCCTATTTTGGTAGTTTCCCAAAATTAGGGTACCCCAATAAAGACCCCAATATACTACAGTCCTAATTATAGAGACCCCCCAAAAGGTACCCATAATTTTGGGAAACCCCTATTTCTAAAGCCCCAAATCCTTGTCCATGCCAGAATGCCTCGGAGCATGGCAAGGCGCTTCAGAAGTTCCAGGTCGCCTGCAGAAAGTCCACAGTTGAGCTTTGAGGGTTTACAGTCCCCCTTAAGTAGATAGAATCTGGGGTATATATGGGGATCTTATTATCATATACCCAAAGCCATATTCTATCTACTTAAGGTGGACTATAGGGTTTAGGGGCTTTTAGGGCTTAGGGTTTGGGATGGATGCAGGGGTTAGGGTATAGGCCCTTGCCCGGGTTCTTCCAGACCATATTTTCTTGAACTGGTTCAGCTGAGAGTACACAGGGGGAGCTAATCCAAGAAACTCTCCCACAGAAACTCAACATGTTCTGCTTAAGCCCTAAGCCCAAACCCTTAAACCGTAAACCCTGAAAGCCAACCATGGGTTAGCGAGAGTCTAAGGTCTGAAGCCTTCACATCAGAAAGTCTCAAACCTCTCACCTAGCAGCGCAAACTCTAAGAATCTAGGTTGTAATCTAGGTTGTAGGCAGTTTTAAGGTCTTGCGCACCAAGCCCTGCGCCCTACTTCAGCGCAAGCCTCCAACCCTAAACCGGAATGCCTGAACTCCAAATCCTAAACCCTAAACCCCAAACTTCAATTCCTAAACCCCCAACCCTCTATGTAAACTCCTTGTATCATATCCTGTGCGCCGAGCAGTTCCCCCTCCACTACTCATCTGCAAGCCCCGCGCATCCAATGCGACTCCCTGAATCGAACCAAAATTAGCCCTGTTTAGGGCCTGGGGTTCCGCCTATAACCCAGGGTTTAGAGATTAATTACTGTTCAGGAGTCGCAATCTAGCGAGGCTATGTCTACCTGTCACCCAACTTCCCACACAGATATGTCCCCTAGGTAGAACCCATACACATTTACAACTGTCCATTGTTGAGGTAGAATAGAATCTAACTACATTGGCACTTTGTGACTTCCACGCAGCATCTGACCCTAAACCCTATGCTTAACAGTTTTTGGTTCATGTTAGTAGACTCTAAAGCATTGCCAGGCTATAGCTGGCCTTTTCTTTGGTAGATCCACATGGTTAAGGACCAGTGTATGAAAGGTAACCTACGTAAAAAGCTTGAGATCCTGAGCCCCTAGTATGGGCCCTTAATCCTGAGGTCCTTACCTGTAATGTACCCTATTGCCCTACAAAACCCTGCATTAGGCGCCCGTAGTTAGGACCTTAGGCTACGATACCCTGCCCAGGTCCGACTTTTGATGTTCCAAACATGTTCATTTCCCAGACGCGATTCTCTGTGGGTCTAAGTCTATATAGCTAAGACCTACTATGGGAGCCAACATCTATAAGATAGTACCCGCGTATAGGTTAGGTGGACCCCCCACCCTGTAATAGTGGTATAATCGGAATATAAGAGGACCCTAATATAATCCGTATTATCCACGATAGTGACTATTACTGGGTGGGGGGCCCCCCTAACTGAGAGGGCTGTCTTGAGCACCAGGCCAAAACAAGCTGCAAATACCCCAAAACCTGAGGATTCCTGAGGCTGATTGAAGCGATTGAAGTTGGATTGGTACCGACAGCTTTAGGGTTTGGGGCTTAGGATTTAGGGTTTAGGGTTTTGGATTTAGGATTTAGGGTTTAGGATTGTTCTCGGTATGCCGCAGCTCTAGGTACTTCAAAGCGGAATTCTTTTAATCCAAGGCAGCTTACACAAAATCACACTGCATCTACCCCATAGCCGTGGCTATCTGGCCTTTAACTTGGATCCTGGATCCTTCCCATCCATCGAGGCCAAGGTAGGTACCCTTTGTAGACTTTCATCACCTTACAGGGGGTTAGTAGGGAATAAGGGCATATATCCCCTAGATAATATATAATCCCTATATAAGATATTCCCTTCTTCCCTAGTACGCCCCAGTAACTTGCCCTATCTTACCCCCAAAACCTTGTTTTCATTTCATTTTCCATTTTCTTTTCCATTTGAATCTCCCTTATAGCAGGCATGTTCCCTTAGTAAGTTAAAGACTTAAGAGCCCCAAGAAAAGCTCGACGCCTGATCCCAGGCGCATGTTCCAGAAAGCCAGGATCCTCCGGGCCTCGTAGCGTGGTTTAGGGTTTAGGGTTTAGGGTTTGGGGTTTATGGTTTGGGCTTGCCCAAAAGACAAATGGGCTCCCTACAAAGTATTTTGGGCCCAACCTATCTACTAGATCGGTACTCGGACCCTTGGGATTACACTTCAGGGCCCAGGTACCCAAGAAAAGTTCTGAAGCTCCAACCGAAAAACGGCGTGTCTAGAAGAGGAATCATTTGAGGTGTCTATAGGGCCCAAAGATCTCCAAACTCAAGAGCTCGAGATTGCTCAGCCCCAGGAATAGCAACTACTTTCCTTTGCCCAGCCCCCAACAATTTGCTTGAGACCTAGTCCATAAAGCATATGGACCTCCTTTGGTGGACTTGCTTAAGGGTCCGGTTTATGGTCCAAAAATGTTAGTGGCCTAGGTCTTGTTTTTAGAAGCCTTTGCTTTGAAGCTCTAAGGCTTGGATCTGTAAACTTGCTCAAACCGCACAGATTTTGAGGCAAACAATATTTTACTCATACTACTAGGGCTGTATTCATACTAGCGAGGCTAGGAGCATCCAAGAATACTAGTACAAGTGCTAATACTTTTAGAGCTAACACCACCAGACCCCTCCTCCCCAAAAAATCGGAGGGGGCACATACCAAAGCCGGCGCCACGTAAATAGAGAACAGTGGAGAATCAAGTGAAGCGAGTGGAAAGTTGAATAGGAATTGCGTCTATGCAGGGACGAGTATCGGGCTAGGATGTTCAGGGTTTAGGGTTCAGCCTCAAAATGGCAAGATGATCAAGACATGAGGCTAAGTTGATAAGGCGCACGTCTAGGGCTTAGGATCCACAAATACCTGGCTGTCTTAATAGGAAATGAACAGAGGGGAGAGAGGCTCTGACTAGGCAAGTTGCGTCGCAGACTACTGCCGGACTTTCAAGAGTCCAGGCATCCAAGCGGTATATAGTAGGCAACGGAAAAGAAAATATCAAATAAGCACGTTGTTTGGGATGTAGGTTTTCTTATTCACAAGAAATCGCAGATACAATCCCTACATAAGGAACAACATCTTGCTCAACATCCCTGAATCCCAGGCCCTGTAAACCTTAAGCCCTAAGCGCTAAATCCTGCACACAAAATCCCAAAAACCCTAGAGCCCTGAGCCCTAAACCCTAAACCCTGAAACCCTAAACCCAGAGCCCTGGCGCCTTGGAAGAGCTCGCCTTTGACTCGCCCGCCCCGCTGAGATAATCCAGAATTCCGGACCTTCAAGAATGGGAAAAGGAAAAGGGCTTAGGGTTTAGGGTTTAGCTAGGGTGTAGCAGGTAATTTATTGGAAAAGGAAATGGAAGCTACTATTTAGGGTTTATAATGTAGTTTACTGGAAAAGAAGATGGAAGCTACTAGGTTTAGGGTTCAGAAAGTTGTGTAGTGGGAACGAAAATGGAAACTACTGTTTAGGTTAAGGGCTTAAGGTTTAGGAATTAGGGTAAGGGATTTAAATTTAGGGTTCAGGGTTTGCGGTTTGGGGCTTAGGGTTTAAGGATATTAAACGTTTTTATGGAGAATGAAATGGAAAAGAACATG